CACCTGTGACCACACACACCACGTGACACAAAACACAGACGAGACAAAGGACGTGACACAGACTGCAACTGCTCTGCCCTGCACACGGGAATCCCATGAGAAAAGGTAAGCCCTTCCTTTGATGCATCCAAATAACCTGTTCCAGGATACCCACTGCACTGGACTAATTGCAAAAATCCCTCCAGGTGAGGCACAGACTTGCACCGACTCCCAACCCCTCTCTGGGTCTTTACCCTTACTTATCTTGTCGAGATTTGGGGATGCCAATCCATCTTGGATGCGCATGAGGGGCACTTGGGCTGGCTCAGAGGTTCCTGTCATCGTCAGACTACTCGGAGTCAACTGCAAGAAAGAAAACCAGACACCAGATCTGAGTAGTGTGGCACGTGGCCCCAGCCCCCATGATCCCTCTACTCGCTCTCACCGAGGCAGGTCCTCGTGTCACTGGCTCTGACCAGACTTGGACAATGTGCTGCCATCTTCCAGGATACCTGCACTTTAAGGCCCTGCCGTACCCCTCCCATCGGCTTTGGAAAACCCCACTCTCGTGACTGCACGCACGCTGCAGGCAGGGGCTGCCTCCGGGAGGACCCGAGAACTGCTGCCCTGAGTGTTCCTAAGCCTATCACAGGGTAACTGGAAAGTCTCCTTTCTACTCCACCTACCCCCAAGTCTACACTGCAGGGCAGAGCAGTTCCAGGCCCAACACAAACTCCAAGGACACATTTCCAGACAAGTGCTGTGGTGCAACCAGGAGAGAGAACTCTGAGAAAGGAACGACGCCAAAATGGATGCGCTGCCGCACGAGAAGACGGAGGATACGGCGAGACTGAACGGAGGAGGCTCTGAGGAGCCTGAAAAGACACTCTAACAGAATGGCCTGGGACAAGAACTGCCTCCAAAATTGCTGAGACAGATGGAAGACAGTGCTATGTTCAGAATCTTCTTAGATTCTCACAAGTCCTAGGTGGGATGACAAGGGATGACTGCACGGCACAGCCACCGATACAACCTGTAAGGAGGCTGTAAAAGACACCTGACCTGACACTTCTCAGATGCGATTCCGATGCACGTCCAAGCTAGTGAGCCAAAGAACGGATGGTATGGGCACTGGGCTGGGCAGTGCAGAGGTTCAAGACCCTAGGAATGATGCCTTGGCATCTCTGATAAGACCTTAGAGGACAGAAAGCAAAGACATGGTGACTGTGAAGTGTAAGACAAAAAGCAGACTGGACAAAGGACACGACACAGACCTGAACTGCTCTGCCCTTCACATCCTACTCCATGATGAAAAATAAACTGCTCCTCCTATGTGTGCCAAGGGCCTCTTAGGGCAGACCCTTTCCCCTGTGCTCATTTGAAAATCCCTCCCTCCTAACCATAAAACTGGACCCAGCTCTCATCCCCTCTCCAGGTGGGAGCCCTCCACTTATCTTTCCCACAGCTGGGGATGTGAATCCATCTTCGATGCCAAGGAAGGACGCCCGGCTGGCTCAGAGGGTCCTGTGATCCCTGACTCGGTCGCTGTGAGAAAGAAAACAGAAACTGACACAGGAGTTGGGCAGCACGTGGGAGATAACCCCGCAATTGGCTACTCACCCTTCCCTGAGCTGAGAGGTTCTCGGGCCACTGGCTCCGACCCCAGTCGGAGGCTGCTGCCGTCACCGTGTGCCGTACCTGGGAGAGTGAGAAAAAAAGTTATGGGGTGTTTCTGAAAGTAAGGGAGACCCCAGCACCTCCTCCCTACCTCTCTGACTCAACCTCAATGCTCCTCCTTTGCCAAAGGCTGGATGGCAACTGCAACTGGAAAAGGTCAAGCCTTAATTGATGACCCTTGAGATTATTCACAAGGACAGCTGAAGACCATCAAATTGGCAGGTGGCTCTGGCCCTCTGAGGCTGCACACATTCTCTGCAAAGTAAAAAAACCAAAGGCAAATGTACCCACTGAGGTACTGCGTGAGAGAATGGCTTTCCTGTGGGAGCTCCTACCTACCTCTCCTCCACAGTGACCTCTTACCAGCAGGGGCCCTGAAGCACTGGACTGTCTGTTAGAAGGTGGCAGAACCCCTGGAAAACACAAAAACAAAGCATGTGTCCGGAGCCCCCCTCCCTGCCCGGGACACACGGGTCGTGTTTCTGCCCTTCCTGGCAGGCGCCCCTCCCTGCCTGGAGCAGCCTCGCCCGGCGCCGCTGGTGATGCTGCGCGGCTGAAGCGCTGCGGGGTGGCGGCGCGGCTGGACAGCTCGCGAATGGGCTGAGAGACCGGCTCGGGGGGTCTGGAGCGGCTCGGAATGGGCTGGCAGCGCTTTCGGGGGGCTCTGGAGCGGCTACGGAATAGCGCTGGAGCGGGCTCGGGGGGTGTGTTAAGTGGTCTCGCGGGGGGCTGGCAGCGGCTCGGGGGGGCGGGCATGAGTGCGCTCCGGGCGGGCGGCAGCGGCTCCCGAATTGGGCTGGGAGCGTGCTCGGAAGGGCCTGGACGTCGGTCGGAGGGGCTGGGCGGCTCTGGGGAGGGGCTGGAGCGGCTCGGTGGGGGCTGGAGCCGCGTCGGAAATGGGCCGACCGCTCGAGGGCTGGAGCGGCTCGGGGGGGCTCGGAGCCGGCTCGGGGGGGCGTGGGCTGGCAGCGGGCTCGGAATGGCTGGAGCGGCCTCGGCAACTTGGGCTGGAGGCGCAGGGGGGTTGGTGCTCTGTCTCTGGTGTTCCATTGGTGCGCCGCTCTCGGCACTAGATGCACAGCAAGCGCTTTCTGGGCAGGCACTTTTGGTCCTGGAGGAATCTTCATCCGTATTGAATTTGGCCGCGGGACGGCCCGTTGCAGCGCGTGCCGGCGAACGACTGCCCTTCCACGCAGGAAAGAAAGTCCTGACCCTCCGTCTCTCAAGGGCAGCTGTTGTGCCACTCGACACTACATGCACCGCAAGAGCCTATCGTTCACTTGCAGCGGTCCAAGTCCCCCCCAAGAAACTTCATCTCCTCCTCCTAAACCCCCCATCACCCACAGCCCCTCAAATGGCACATAAAGAGTTTCCTCCCTAACTTCTTAAAAATGTGGGACAACAGGGACTCCTCTTCAGTTTAAACTTTAAGATGATTAAAATGTGGGGATTGCCCTCAACTCAAACGCAGAAAATTGAACCATAAATGTTTTCCCGTTCTATTTAAACCCAAAACCAACAGAAAATGGGGGGTTTGCATCAATGAAACGCCTAAAATCTTAGAACAAGTCTATTTGTTTTCAGTTGATATCCTTAAAATCACAATTAGAGCGATTTCCCCTTGAATTTAAACACAGACAATATTGGCAAATGACTTTTTCCGCAATTTAAACCCCTTTTCCCCCACCCCCACCTTCTTTCAGCAGTCACTGAAGGCACGGGGGAGGGACTAGGACCACTGGAAGATGCAATTGAAAGGAGACAGCCTTTCCCTACGCCCCGCTCCGCGCTGCCTCTCCTGCTCAGGTGCTGGTCCCCTCGCCTGCGCTGCCCCTCAGCACAGATCTTGTTCCTTGGCACCTTCCTCGAGCAAAGCTCCATTTCCAGGTGCATCCAGGAGCTCCCCCAGCCCATGCAAGGTGCTCCCACCATCGTTCTTTGAGAGACCACCCCCCCGCGGGATTGCCCCTCCGGCCGCTCCCCTCTGACCTCTGAGGCCCGCTACTCACCCTCGTCGCTCACACCTAAGCAGGGAACAACGCGCGAGAGGTGGGAATCCGAGGGAAAAGAGTCGCTGACACGATCCAGGGGGGGAGAAACTCCAAGTTTTTATTTTTGTTGCCCAGAAAACACGCTGCCACCGCAGCGCGCGCCACTCTGCCGTAAAGCACCGCTGTTGAGCAGCCGCACCTGCCACACTGCCGTAAAATTCAGCGAAACTTCGGACGCTCCCCCCCCGCAGTGCTCCCACTTCGTCCCACCGCTCCCAGTACACCCCTTGACTCCCCCCAGTGCTCCCACTTCGTCCCACCGCTCCCAGTACCACTCCTTGACTCCAAAATTTAGTGAGTCCTAAGATCATTGCCAAACCAAAGGTGCCAGGACAGGACAGGAAGGTCTTTCTGGTTAACACCTGCCCTGGGCAACCCATCACCTGCCCCTCAGACCCCGGGGCTCCGCGCTTCCCTCCCGAGGGGCAAAACTGCCAAAATTTCCGTTGTACCTCCCAAATTGAGGGTCACTTGCGTCACCCACAGCGGAGCCAGGTTCGCTCCCTGACAGGGGCACGGCCTCC